ATTGTGAAATACATGTACGATATGTCCTGTACCCGTACCTGTAGGGGTACCATCAAAGTTTTTGTCCTGGACCCCACATACCCTATTGGCAGCCCTCCCTGTAACAAGTAACTATGGACTATAGTACATGCTTTTTCCAAAAAATGGCTCTGAACTGAATCATTCCCATTTTAGTTACATTTAAATAGTTGAAGCCGAGGGGTTCACAACGGGAAGATAATTTCTACGAGATTACAGAAATGACCAGGATTACCAATTAATTACTGGATTACCAGGAGAATTCCAAGATTATGAGTGGATTACCAAGATTATAGGTGGATTTTTTGGATTACCAGGGATTACAAGCTGGATTACTTCAATTTACTTGGATTGTTATTGATTTTGGCCACACCTTATTAATTAATAATGGGTGTGGTCTTAATAACTATTTAATAATCAATAGATGTGGTTTTAAACTCCGGATACTTCTGGATTATATTAAGAAAATTATTTCTATAAAAAAAATTCTGTAAATTTGTTAATCCTGGATTACAGATTACTGAATTCTTGGATTATTCCAAGATTATCTTTTGGATTACTGGAGTACCAAGGAGGTTCTACGAGATTACAAGCCTGTGGCGAACCCCTCGGTTAAAACCCATTCTGTCTAAAATTTTTGAGTCATGTCCATTTAAACAAATGAACCAATTAATATCATTACATCTCATTGTTTTTATTGTATTTTAGGAGTTTAACGAGAGCTTTGCTGATAAACATTGAATTATGAAATGTACATCAAAAGTAAATATATATATGTACATGTACATGTAATCCTTTATCTCCATGTCTCTCACTATTTAGAGTGTTGATAGAAAATATGTGTTTCATTTACCATTTTCTGTTCACTCTTTCTCTTTCACTCTCTTGAACTTTCCCTCTCTCTCTCCCTCCCTCCCTCCCTCTCCCCCCTCAGTTTGAGCAGGAGTTAGAATCCTTACAAGAGGCCCACAGGTCAATGGTGGCCAGTACTGCAAGGAAAGAGAAACTGGAATTAGTAATGAGACAAAAGTTAGAAGAGGAATTGAAGCAATACAGAGAATAACTGGACAGCTCCTCCAACTCAGTGGGGACTGCAGCTTCCACTTCCCCTTATCATTCTCTCCCATCTCATTGAAGATAGCAGATAAAATAAAAGGAGGCAAGTTCATTGAAATGAAAGAGCTCATGCCAGACAACACTGCCCTCAAATCCCAATGGGCGGATTCAGGTTCCAGCACAACAAACATAAAACTAAGGGAAAGTGAAGACCCACTCTCGTGGGCATTTTATTTCCTAGGCTTTCTGGCAGTGCTCACTCCAGATAAGACTGTGAAAGAGCTCATCGCTTACGGACAATCTGTGATTCATCTGGTACAAAGACATGGAGGGAGTGGCTGGCATTCTTATGATTGACTATTCAGACAACAGTGAGCTGCAGGCTCGACACTGCCTTGGAACAAGCTCTCTCCCTCCCTCCTAGCCTCCATAGCTAAAGTCTCATGCCAACTATGTAATGGGCTGGACTTATGTACTGAGCTCC